GTTTGAAAAAGTTCAAAACTATCCAAAGAATTAGTATCATCTAAGAGAAGCATAGAACAACGTCAATAGTTTCACGGAGAAGACCTTCAGCTAATAACAGCATCAATATCAGTTACAGATATCAACGGCTGCAGATATCTGCAGAATGTATGGATGCAAAATATGTTTAGCCCATCTCTGAGAACAGCTTCTATTTCCTTATACATGTATCATCTAACTTGTACAAATACTATATTGACTTATGTTCATAGAACCATGTTTCTTTACATGAGCATCCCTGTAACAAACTGGAAGCTGCAAGATATCACAGATCATTTCTTTTGTATAAGAGTGGAAGGATCCTGCTGGATAAAATAGCACTCTGTATTTCTCTATGAACCAAAAAGCATACCAGAACCCAGTTTGTGCAGCGAGAACCAGATGAAACCACCTTTTCAAAGGTACTCCCTCTGTAAACTAATATAAGAGCGATTAGTTTACGGAGGGAGTATCAGCTAATCTTATGGCATGATAAAACTATAGTACGCACTCTCAATTGCACCTTCAAATTACCCGCATAACTCTATTAAATTCAACAGTTGTTAACAGGATTGGTGTTTCGCAGGGGGTGGATATTGATTGCAGGATCTTAATTGCCTATAATCTAATCTCAGAGGAATGATTTGCTAAAACCAATAGCACACCTGAACTGTGGCCTTGTAGGTTAATATTAACAATTAGCTGGTCAGCAAGTTTTTTTAACATTCAACCAAAATGGTGTGACGAACATGAAAATGTGGTTTATACTACAACACTGTTGTACATGAAGACATGAAAACTGATTATAATTTCTACATCCAATTTGGTTATGTCATGCATTCCATGGAAATATGCCTACGACTTAGAATACATTAATCAGAAGTCTCTGCTCGAATTTGTTCCAAATTAAAGCTCAGAGCAAGACTAGCTCGAGTAACCAGCAGCTAGATGATCTTATTCACTAACACATAATTATGCATGAATCAGTATAGGTAAGGTCTAAAACAACAATAGATTGGCATACTAAAGCAGATGCTTTACAGTTCAGGATGTGCAAGTTTAGTATAAGTGAATCATTAACATAGGGTTACAGTATCCTTCGCTAAGCGAATAAGTTCCTGCAAACAGTAAAAATACTCCTTTCTGCAGATTTTTTTATAATAATACAAAAGTAGTTTGTGGGACGATGGATAGTCTATCACAGTGGTGACAAACACACACACTAAGCATAGCCTGGGTAGCTCAAAGTCACCAACAGTTATCCTACTTATTAATAGGTTTTAGTTCACAACAAGAATTATGGAACGGAGGGAGTAGAATATAAAATTTTTACACCTAAATTTATATATAATCATTTTGGGAGACATGTAACTAGCAAGTGTCCTCTTGTGGCAGTAATGAGCAAAACCATGCGCCCTTCAAGGTTTCTATCTACTAGTCTAGTTTCTAGAGGCAAGAAAAGTGGCTTCATTGTTGTATGTCCAATTCTCTAACTAGGACAAATTTCTGCGAAGGAGGTGTGAAGTTACCTGCTATTGATGACATCAATCTCATGTAAGGTAACGCAGTGCATAACCTCCTTGCGCTTCTGGAGCTCTCCTTCAGGGCACTTGACAAACTTGGTGTGCGCACCAACAGCATCATAATCCCGTGACCTCCCAATGGAGCGGCCAAGCTTGATAACCTTCCCGGAGGCCTTGTCCAGCGCAATCACATCCCCGCTCTGTACCTTCTCCTTCCCCAGGGCCTCAATCATCTTCCCACCCAGCTCATACACCGTCTCCATGTCCGTGGTCTTCAGCGTGAGCCTTCCAGTCTTGCCGGCCGCGGTAGCACCTGAAGGTATGCCCGAGCTACTGGCGGAGACAGGGCGGTCGATTGAGATCTCAACGACCTCGCCCTCAATGATCTCCGCCTCCTCCTTGATGCGAACGCCAATGGCGCGGCGGAACGCCTGGGTGAGCGCCTCGGTCTTGGAGAGGTCGAGGGAGAAGAGCTCGGAGGCAGCGACGGAGGCGAAGGGCGTCTCGGCGCCGAGCGACTTGGCGATGCCCATGGCGAGGGCGGTCTTGCCGGTCCCTGGCTGCCCTGCGAGGAGGACGGCGCGGCCGGCGATCTTCCCCTGGCGGATGAGCTGGAGGATGAGTCCAGCGGCGCGGCGCGCGGGGAGCTGGCCGACCATCCCCTCCGAGGCATCGCGGGCCTCGATGGAGGAGTCCAGCCCCAGCCCCCGGATGTGGGAGTGCGCGCCTATGCGCTCGATGCGGGTTAGGTCGCGGCTCTCCGACAGCCGCTTCAGCTCCGCCATGATCACCGCCCGCCGCCGCCGCCGCTTAGATGTTGCCCTTTTTCGTGAGATGGGGGAAGAAGGTTTAAGGCTAGAAGGGGAACGAGCTAGGGTTTAGCAGTCGCCGGTCAGGTGGATATATATGGAGGCGGAGGGGAGGAGGAAAGGAGGGGAGAAAAATGAGAAGAGCGGGAGTGTGTTTGTCGTCTTGATCGTAATGGGCCGGTATCTTCAGCCCAGATGTAATGCCATTCCCCCTCCTTCTCAGAGAAAACAAAAGTGCTAACAGGACCCCCTACAAAAACAATGCTTCTCCTCAAAAAACAAGGACGCTGATAACGCTCACACGTGTGATGAAAGTGATATCCGTTCACATGTCTTATAACACATAAACTGCGTCAAATCACCGCATGCATGCATGTGAGAATCTTTTTTGATTTCCAGTTTTTAAAATGGTTTATCTTTTAAATGAAAAAATCGATTGAAGATCCGTTTTCACCATTAAATCCATCATCACGAGATCTTCGAAACTAGATCTCATATTAATATATTTCGACGACATTTTTGGGGAGGTTAAAAGTTGCCATGTCTATTGCACATGAATTGTCATGGTGTTTATGCTGAAGATGACATGATATGTTTCAGCTATTTTCTGCTACATTTAAAAATAAATTCATAATTTTCATGATTCATACACTAAAATTGCCATGAACCATAAACTAAAATTGCCAAAATACATGCACTTAAAATTGTCATGATTCATACAAAAAATAATTTTCATGGTCAAAGTACTGAAATTATCATGGTCAAAATACTAAAATTGCCATGCTCTATAAACTAAATTTGTCATATGGCAACTTTAGTGTAAACACTATGACAACTACGGTGTAAATATCATGGCAACTTTTGAGCAAAAAAAATCATCATATCAACATGGAATCTAGTTTAAAGATCTCGTCAAGACGAATTTAATGATAAAAACGAATTTTTAATTGAATTTTTTAATTAGAAGATAAAATATTTTTAAGCCAAAAATCAAAAGATCCACGTTGATGTCATCTATTTTGACGTGGCAAAATGAATGATAATGGAAGAGTTTGAGCTATGTTGCTTCATGTCACACGTGTGGGCGTTAATATTTGTGAAAAACAAAAACAATGCTAACATGCGGGATTACTCAGCTTCCTCTGTCACTCTGGAATACATCCGTTCCATGTCTCAAAAAAAATACATCTGTTCCGTTAAAAGATTAAAATTTTCTTATGACATCTAACACAACACTTCTTGCGGGTATACAATGTGCTAAAACGCCACAATATGTCTAACACGGTGTTGTGGGAGCTCCTATACAGTGCTTTAAGCATCCGGTTCAGATAGCTGGTGCTCACTGCCGCCCTCTAGTGAGCCAGCCCACGACACGCAGCACAATGAATTTTAAGAGCATCTCTAACAGGCGCCAAACGCGCCGTACGTAAAAAATAACTTTAGCACGTGTTCATCGTCTGGTTTGCCGCGGCGCGCAGCACTGGCTCCAGCAGCCGCGCTAAAATGTAGCGCGTGCGCCACTCCAGCAGCGCGCAAAAATGCAGTGCGCGCGACTCTCGTACAAACAACATATGCATTCGAAAACAGAAGCAAAAAGATCAAAACAAACAAAAATAAATAATTCAATTTCGTTTATTACAACTCAAACAAACAGTTTATCGTTCAATACAACAAATAGTGCAATTAAACGCAACAAATAGTTCAACAATACAATAATGAACGCACAAATCATGATGCTCTTTGTCGTTCATTTCATGCCCACCACTCCTCAATGAGATCCTTCTGAAGATCATTATGCGTTGCGGGACGTTGAATGGCATGATAGGAGGTGTTTGTTTCTAGGTGTTTTGTAAAAAGATCAAAACAAACAAAAATAAATAATTCAATTTCGTTTATTACAACTCAAACAAACAGTTTATCGTTCAATACAACAAATAGTGCAATTAAACACAACAAATAGTTCAACAATACAATAATGAACGCACAAATCATGATGCTCTTTGTCGTTCATTTCATGCCCACCACTCCTCAATGAGATCCTTCTGAAGATCATTATGCGTTGCGGGACGTTGAATGGCATGATAGGAGGTGTTTGTTTCTAGGTGTTTTGTCGAACACCTTGCGGGCGTCGAGCGGCAGCGAGCACGCGGACGCTGTTCGTCGGAGGACCAGCGCGCGCGCGGGGCGGCGGGACTAGAGGGGGGCCGGAGAAAGCGCGCGCGGGACGTGGATAGGCCGGGGAAGCGCCGGAACGGTCGCCGGCTGACGCGGTCGGCGGCGGCGGCGTGGCTGAATGGGGGGGAGGTGTGAGCGAGCGCGCGAGAGTCCAGCGCGCGGGAGCGGACGCAGCAAATAAGCGGCCGCGATTGCATTTCGGCCCACGCGCTGGACTACATATGCCGCACGCGCTATTTTCGTGCGCCCGCTGGAGCAATTATTTCCGCTTGTGCGCGCGCTAAAACGGAAAATTTTACGGCGCGACGCTATTTTAGCGCGCCTGTTGGAGATGTTCTTATAGAGCAAAAAACACCCTAAATGTGTTACTTTCATGAGCAATCGACATCGCGCCGTCCCGCTCCAGTGCCGGTTGCCTAACCACTAGAGCAGCAAGGCGCTTGTAAGTCATTATCGCATGAACATTTTAAGAATAAGTGCGGCCGCGCAATTAATTGCACAAAGATTTTAGAAAAAAATATTTTTTAAAAAATGTGAATGAAATTCGAAAGTTCATAGATTTCAAAACAAATCACGAATTCAAAGAAATTCACAAATTAGATAAAAAAATTCATCCATTTTTGAAAAGTTTGCAAATTTAAAAAACATCAATTTTAAAAATCATTTCACCGATTTTGGAAAAAAAATCATCATTTTTTTAAAAAACAACGATTTTGAAAATAGTTCATCAGTTCTGAGAAAATTTCATTGTTTTAAAAACACAAATTTTGAAAAATGTTCATCAATTTTGAAAAAAGTTCATGGATTTTTGGAAAAGCTCGACTATTTTGAAGAAAATGTGCATCGATTTAAAATCACGCATTTAAGAAAATAAATAAATAGAAAAGAAAAAACAGAAGAAAAAAAAGCAAACTGGTAAAAGGATAAAAGAACAAATAAAGTTACTATACACAAGTGCGTAATGTCCCTAATGGTTAGCCCAGCGCGCTGTGCGCATGAAGCGCTAAATAGGATTCGCCCAGTGTTGTTCACACGTTGAAATATGAGGGTGGGCCTAAGGCTTATTTAACAATTTTAGAAAATCTCTAAGGGTCCATGTGGGATATATGGCAATGGGTGTGATGCGAAGTTTAGTCTATACCGCTAGTGAAGAAGGAGTTGGGTCTCCTTATAAGGGATTCTCTTCCGCATGTTATTGGAGCTTGAGAAGAGAAGTGGTTCTCGCGCCGTGGGTTGCAGAAATGACCCGAGCCGAGCCCATACCTATGCGCTTACTTTTGTCGGTCAGGAACGGAGACCCCGCCTCTTCGGATTCTATACGGGAGAGGGACGATTATGTTTTTGGGGGGCGTCTCCTACGCGACTGCTCGCCGCCGTTCGCCCGCGTCGTCTTCGTCGTCACCATGTCCACCACCAACGAAACCGACCGTGCCGCCGCCGAGAAACTCGAAGCCGAGAAGAAGGCCACCGAGGACGCTGCTGCTGCCACCGCCACCGCCATGGTCGCTGTCTGGCCGATTGGAGGGTATAACTCGTTTATCCCGCTCCTATCGATTTCTGTTTTAGCCATGCTAGCGTTATACGTAGATGTATCTGCTGTTAGCGTAGTATGTGCTTGCGTGACCAAATATCAGCATGTGTTTATTTCTATCAATGAGATGCTAGTAATTTACTCGTGGATTTGATTGATCGAAATATTGCTAATATATTCAACAAGACACTCCTTCATTGAGTGCTCAATGTCCACGTGTGTTTGGGCTTTGACAAAAGAAGTTCTTGAACATATGATGCATACTACGGCCAGTGCAAGAAATTGTCTGTTCTCACTACAGGCTTCACTATCGCATGATCATTTCGTTGGTATGGCCGTGACTTTATGGATAATTTGGATGGCTGGGAGCAAAGCTATCCATGAAGATGATTTTCAATCTCCTCTTGCGACACATTTATTCATTATGATATGTCTAACGGATCTTGAATCATCACAGACCAAAAGTCCCACTCATGGACCCCCAGTTAGGGTGCAACATAGGACGTCATGGGTGACACCTCCTACGGGTTTTGTGAAATTAAATGCGTATTGAGCTGTTGCTCGGAACGAACCCAAAGGGTGGTGGGAGTCGTGTCCCGGGATCACTTGGGAGGTTCCCTAGGCTCTTCGGCTATGACTTTTAATTGTTGATCTCGTCACGTTATAGGCCCTTGCTTGCAGAGAGGTACAGTCACTCGCGCTTGATTTTTGAATCTTCATTGTCTTCATGAGATTGACAAGGGGTGGTGAAAGATATAGCAGGAGGAGGTCTACATGGGGCAATTATCAAAAAGATTTTGCAGAGCAAAATTGACTATGAAGCTTGTAATTTTATTCATGAGGGTAGAAGTAGTAAATTTTAGGCTCATTATATGGCTAAGCATGCAATAACATTATATGGTGTCTTCCACATTTGGTTGGGAGTGTCACATGATCTTGGAATGATGGATATGAACATCCCTGAGCAATAAAGTGAGGCAAAGTTTTAAGAAAAAACATGAAATTAAAAAATGCGAATAAAAATTAACTCTCGAGCAAGTGAATTTTCCAAAAGAAAAGGATGATGTTCGAAGTGAAAACATATAGTTAAAGTCATTGGCCCGGTAGTCCTTAGTTTTCTGATTTTATGTTCCGGTGATGACCTTTTTCCTGATATTGCTGGCCATAGTGGTTACCATGCATCCCACTTCACGATTCACGTGCAGTACTATCTAGTTGTCGCGGCTAGCTGGCGAATTAGCCCTTGTTGAAATTGTATCTATTGTTGAAG